CTGCCTACAAAGATCCATGGATCGCCACGGAAGTCCATGGATCGCCACGATAGTTTTTCTTGAGCAAAAACTATTCGAGACCAGTTAAAGGGTACTCAGAACCTTCAAGGCTTCGACCTGATACGAGCAATCTAGATGGATTTCATAGAAAAGTGTCTATTGAAAATCTTCATGGTGGAATAGATTTATATGGTGGCACAATTTAGCACTTACTTCCTAAACCGAGATCGACAATGACGTCAATAAACACGCAAACAAGACTGCTCGTACATCAGGCCAAAGCCCTGAATGTTCCAATTGTCCCGTAATTCATATCAAATAAATTTTGGGAAAAGAAAATATTGAAAACCTTTAAATTTTGGACAAAATTAAAGTGTAAAATTTTGAGTCGTACGAAATTAATACGACCAAGTAGCTAGCCTCAATTCAATTTAAAATGATTTTGTTGAGCGGGATAATTCGCCACGTACAAAAAGTTTGCGTTACGTTCTCAGCATTTTGAATAAGCACTGCAAAGTGCGCATAATTTAGTCCAAAACATGGCAAATTTGACAATTTTCAAACCCCCAGAACTTAACAAAAAAAGTATCGTGGGTAAAATATCTTTTTACGTTTGAACTCAATATCTCCAAGTCAATATCTCCAATGGGGTCAATATATCCAATGGGGTATATGACGAAGTCAATATCTCCAATGGGGTATAAAAATTTTTTCTCAAAAGCTATTATTTCGATCGGCGAAAATTGACTGAATAAAAAAAACCACACCGAGAATGAATGTTCCTTTTTTTTCGAAAGTCGGAACAACAAGCAAATCGAATGCAGCGCAGCGGAATGGGCGCGGAGTTAGCGTTGCTACTTACTAATTCCGCTGCTGAAACTAGTTTTTTTAGCGTTGGTAATTGTCGGCTTTCCTCAAATTTTGCGGATGTCTATTTCAACGATTTATTTTTTGTTGTAAATTATCGTGAAACCTGGTCCATGGAGATTTTGGTGTACATAGGGCTTCGTTTATTCCGTTTGCTTTTTTGCAATGTCTCTATCCTATTAGAACAATAGTCAAAAAAGTGTACAATTGAGGTCAACGCAGACAATACAAAATTGTAGAAGGGACTTAGTTTACCTCAAATTCCCGCCTCTTCGCCGCTCTACAGTTGAAATTTTATTTATATTTTGTGAATTGATTTCAGAAATACTTGGTTCAGCTTTTATTTCCCTAATTGGTGCTCTAAACAGTAAAAAATCACTGCTGATGAAGATGTTTGAAGCCATTTGACAGAAATCTGAGCTGATTTTGAAGTAAATTTGAATTAGCAGCCGTAAAAAAACGCGGGTCAGTCTCAAAGCAGTGACACTTTTCGTACAGACAATTAGTGCTCAATTTTCAGTCAGGTAAAATGCTTCTAGTAAATTCTATGCTGATCATTGATGAAGTGGAAATAACTATTAAGATACTTTTCGGCACAAGAGAAATTTCAATTTCCATTATTTATAATCCACCCAATATCCTTCAACCGGAAGAAAAATGCCAATGCGAATTTGTAAGACAAACCCTTAAATACATAATGCATGCGTTAATAACATTCTTCAATCAACCATAATTTTTTCTAACAAAAAAATCCGAGAATTAAAAAGGTTTGATACAGATCTATTAACGCAGTAATTGGATCACTTAGCTAGCTTCAACTCAAATTGGAATAATTTCTTTGCCGAGTAAATTGCCGCAGGTAATAAGTGTTACTAGAAAATCAAAAACAATTCCGCGAAATCATTATCTCTAATCGGCCCAAATGCCAATTTTCAAAACATTAAAATTTTTACACAATTTAGTCGCAGGTCAAAAACATTTTGAAACTTGAGCTTATGGCATCAATACTTTTCATACTCTAAAAAATACTTGATGAGAAATGTTCATAAAAAATGAGTTTCACTGAAGAATATAAAACCACCCCGGTGAAAACTAATTTCGGCATCTTCGCACCTAAATTTTAATGTAATACGTTGGAAAACAAAAAACCTAATTAAGCATAAATTATGTATTTAAAAAAAATTGAAATGAATTGTATTGAAAATTTTTGAAATCGATTTTTTTTATTTGCACTGTTGTTTGAAACCAGCTTTTTCGGTTGAATCGATAAAGTAAAAAGGAACGCACTGTGTTAACTTGATACTAATCGAATGTCAAAACACTTGTTATCAAAAAGCCATAAAGGTGCCACCACAAATGTTAGTATCATTTGCGACTTAGGTTGAAACAAAAGATCAAGCGTGCGATTAATGTAAGCTCGCTAAAGTTCGCAAGTTTAATAGTTTAATAACATTTTTAAATGCTCCTGAAAACTAATGAGTTGAGCCATGACATGGGGTTTTTGCCTGTCGAGAAACACCTCAATGGTTACTTGAGTTATGTTTTCACCGCTTGATTTACACAGAGGCGAAGTTGCACATCGCATACACAAGCAAAAATATGACCGATGACGCTACTGGGAAAAACCGAATGAGTAAAACTTTGAGACTACAAAAAAATTTTAAGTGACGCACGCCAATTATGACGCATTAGCAGTACCAGTCAATATAAAAAAGTTACTAACTTACATGCCTCAATTTATAGAGCGGAAGCTTTTTAGCTAGTATATGAAAAAGTTTATTAAAATCATCCGACCAATCCCAGGTTCGAACCCTCTTATTTTGTTACGGGTCTCCTTCCCTACCTCTACTCTACAGATCCATGATTCTTTGAACCTAAAGGGCAATTTGTAATATTATAGCCTGTGTTAATATTCTTAGCATTGGCTGTACTTGATAGCTGGTTATTGATCAAAACGAACTCTTTCAAAAAGAATACATTTTGTCGCAACAATGTTTCCGGCTTAGGTTGGAAAAAACGAGAGTCTATGCTATAATACAAGCTCTCCTTGAGTAATAATCAGAGTTTTAAATCAACTCAAAAAATCAAATTTCTCGAAATAATGTTGAACAACAAAAAACTGCAATAAAAACTCAAAAATCAGTACCAGAAGGAGAAAAAATTTAACAAAATGATATTTTTAGACAGCCAGTAAAAAAACTGGAAGCTATTACAGTGTTAAATTTTTGCGGAGAACCGCTTCAACTTTTAATTCTACACAAAAAGTCTAATTTCTCTAAACACTTTAGAGCAACAAAAAAATACAAAACAAACTCATGAAAAAGATTTGCCATTTAATTTTAAATTTCATATTCATTCTTATGGTAACGCCATCGCTAAGACAAAGATAAAAATTTAACCAACAAATTATTTATTATAGATAAAACTTCAAGATCAGTTTGAAAAATTTTGAAACATAGGAAATTCTGATAACGCTATTGGACTAAGACGTAATAGACTGATGATATCAAACAAAAAAAGTAATATAAACTTTTCATGGATTTTTGTAGAATACAGCAGGTTGGTTATAATACACTAGATATTCTTGTTCAGAAAATGAAAAAAAAAATGCTAGAAATTATCATAATTTTTGGTTCCGACTTTAAAAGAAAGTAAATAATTATCTAAGCTCCGGTTGCTTTTTTCTTCAAAAAATTTTTTCTTCAAAAACGACGATTTTCATATTTGTTGAAAACTTACGATTCCTCTGAACTCAAGTTCAAACAATTATTTCAACATTAACCTTTTTTGCAAAATTATGAGAATCTGGAAATTGTCGATTCGGCCAGGTTGGGATAATAAAACGCGATCTAATTCCATATTGAATGGAGGCATGCTAGTTGTTGAAATTATTATGTTGATTTATGCAAAAGTAATAACTTTTAAAAAATACAGGTAATTTTCATAAAAGAATTTTGGAAAAAAAGTATTTCTAGTTATATTTACAGATTTCATCTTTTTTTTAAAATTGTTTTTTACTTCGTAGAAGTTGAAGGGTAGTCGGATTAGAAAATCAAAATGTTTTTGCACCCTGCCTCTCAGCCAGAAAAAAAAGAATTTCGTAAGCTCCAGTGGCAATTATGAAGTGTTTATGAAGTTTGCTTTACAAAAATGCTCCGCAAAAAGATTTTGCGTAATACTAAACGTTAGCGCCCGCAAATAGTTTTGGCATATCTATATGAGCATAATTAGAAAACTTGGTTATCATGTTTGTATGCAATTGCCAAAACAATTTTTGGGGGCGCGAACATTTACTGTTCCGCTAACTTATTTTTGCAGAGCAGTTTCGTAGAACAACCTCAATGAACACTTTATAACTGCAACTCGAGCGGCAACATAATTGAAAAAAATATATATTTTTAACTGAGAAGAGAAAGGCGAGAAAATTTTGTTCGAAAAAACCAGTTTTAATTGCCAAACTTTCTGCAGTCCTAAAATTGCAATCTTTTTGTACCGACTTTCGTAAGGAAAATAATTGTACCGACTTTCGTTACGAAAGTAACGGAATATTTGTGTTCGGGGTTGGTTTTTTCTTCTGACAAATTTCGAATTTTCAACTAGCCATTTTTGAGGTAATTTTTTATACCATTCGAAAGCTATTGTTGCCTTGAGCTTAAATTTGAAACGATATTTCACCTGTGATCTTTTTTCGTAAAGTTATGAGGATTTAAAGATTGCCATTTTGACAAGTTTAGGACAATTAACGCGCGATATGTTTAATCCGTCTTAGAAATTGTTCCAAATTGGTTCAAGGAAGCTTATATGCCATTATTGATTTGTTAATATTAGCAAAATTGATCACTTTGAACTTAATAGGGCTTGTGGGGATGATTTTCACAAAATAAATTTTATTACATTTATATTTTTTGTGTTATTACTGCTCCATAGACCTTGAAAGGCAGTCGGAACATTCAGAACTTCGCCCTAATACGAGCAGTCTTCTTTAATTCTGCATTCAAAAATCATTCAATTTGCTGCAGATTAAACAAGCAAGAGCTTGATCAAAACTAATTGTGAATTTCATTGGTTAAAAACTAAAAATTGTTTTAACTTGTTTAATTTGACTGCGGTTTCTCATAAAAAAAGGTTCTCACCTGGGTCAATGGCCTTCGCGGTGGTGAGTCGCGACATGAGCATGGCCTTCCGGATGGCACGCTTCCAGTTCTTTCTTGCCTCCATCTAAAAGCAATACACCGTCACCGTCACTGATTTTGAAGGCCAAATATTTCATTTTTGTTAGCCTATAGAACTTTCAGATCATGGCTCTATTGTCATGACAATGCATATTTAACGAAATCGTGATCCCAGTTCAGATCATGATTCTATTATAGTGTAAGCGCGAATTTTCTAAATCGTTGCAGTGATTGTCACTTTTATCTTTTATTAATGCCTAATTCTGTTAAGAGATATTTCGTTTTTGATCTTGACTTAATCAATCTTTCCGACGAAGAGAATTTCACTATTTTAATGTTTTAACTTTGAGATTGTTTATTTTTGAAAGAAACATATTACCATGGCGCAACCAAACAGCAACAGTTCAAAGGTGAGAGGGATACATACAATCCATTTTTGGCCGAATCCATTTTAAGAAATCCATTTTGGCCGACCGACCCTAAATTTTTTCTAAAAGCGCCTTCGGCGCCAATATATATTAAACTTGAGGGGGAGCGCGCGCCAAAAAAACGCTATTTTTTGTCAAAATTTCCCAAAAAGTTTTTTTTGACCTGTTTTTTCAAAAATTTGCCTGCGGCGCAGAAAATATGGCCAAAGCAGGGACTATTTACTGCTTTAGGAGAGCGGAAAATCAATTTGGTCAACCTAAAAAAAAAGGTCGTCACAAAAATTTTTAGAAATTTTTTGAAATTCCGCCCCCCCCCCCTCGAGAAAATCCTAGATCCGCCCCTGACATTCATAATGAAAATTTACTAAATGTGATAAAACGACATCATCCACAATCCCCGACGCTCAAGCATCTGACAGCTGGCGAAAATGCACAACAGAAGAAGTCAAAACCAGAGAAAAACTAGATCGAACAGATAAGATTCAACGACTAAACGTTTTCACATGCTGAGGATTTACAAGCAGACAATCAACTATTATCAACGTTTACCTTGCACTGGTAAACGAAGATAGAAGAATCTTTGGTCAAAAGTGAACAAAAGTTGAAATCTTACGGATTTCATTCGAAAAATTTTGAGAGTATTTGGCAACCGCATTGGCGAGAAAAACATAACTTATTCCGAAAGATATAAACTGTTGAAACAGTAAAAACATCGTTACAAAGAATCATCAGAACAAATCTGGGTTGCTCTCACAGAAATAGCTTAAAAATGTCACATCACGGCAGGAGAAGAGCTATCAGAGCGGATCAGAGATATCTTCATCAATAAAATAAAGAAGTTTCGACAAACAAAAAAACAGTTGACTGTAACATTCCCTCCTTCAGAAGTGTTGGGTTTCGCAATCAAAACGAAAAGCAAATCATGTTTCATATGAAAATTGAAAGTAGTTTTAAAATCAAAGGATCTCCTGTGCAAAATATTTTTAATTTCAAGAGAGAACAACTTTCAATCATCGAACGAGATCAAAGTTGTCTGAAATTGGGTAGTACTTTTTCTAAATTACACCTAGTTGCATGCCCAGTGAAAGAATTAATTTGTACTTCTTCTAAAATTAAGGGTCATTTTACCAAATTCTATAAATCTTGTGATAAGAAAACAAAAATTGTGAAAAGTTAAAATGAAGACAAAACAGAGATCAATAATTGTTCGGATCATTTGGATGTATATAGAGACGTATGAATAAGAGAGCTGTGGCCTATTGAATGCTGGTCAGAATCCGGAAAACGCGATAATGACAATAATTTTGTTTAAAAAAATTTATCTAAAATGTCAAAACGACTGAAAGGAATTAAAGAAACTTTTGAATAAAGGCCTTGCCTTGGAAAGGTAAATCAAGATCCCTATCTCAAAATCTATCCAGTAGAATAAGCCGTCAAGGTTTTTACTGTGGTGTCACAGACAGTTCAATTCATATCACCGGGAAACTGATAATCTCAATCTTCTCAAACGGGTGGTTCCACGAAAAATGTTTCTTTTTTTAAACACAAGTCCAAGAAAGAAACATCCTCGGGAAAGAAAATCAACCGAAATGGAAATTTTACAGAAACTTTTTACTCCGTTCCAAACTAAAAAAATCAAAGAGTCTATAATCTTTGTTGCTCTAGAGACTGAACATAACCAAAATCACCCCGGTATTCAGGAGACTTAGACAATGATTGCAACAGATAGGAACTATAAAAAATCAGATGGAGTTGAAACAGTTCCCTGACCCATTAAAACCAACACAGCAAAAAACAGACGCGTCTCCTATAATTCACGAAACCCATTTAAAACTGAAATTATATGCCTCAGACTAAAAAATTATCAAAACATTGGAGCAGTGCGACAATATAGATTCATTAGTCCAACCATCGCGGCATTTATGAAGAAGCAATCTATCAAAATAACTTTAGATTTGAAGTTCATAAGCGAACAAATCTAATAAAAAAATGTATCAAATGACTTAAAATCCACGAACTGGTGAATGAGGTTGCAGTTCAAATACCTTATGATTTCAATAAACAAATTTGGTTTACTCCCCTCGGTCTCAAAAAAGCATAAGTCATTTTTCTTTTGACTATTTAACCATTAAGTCATTGTGGTTTAGTGGGTGGGAACATCACGGGAGTCTACCAAACTTTAACCGGATTTTATGGACTCGGCGGTATGCAAAACGAAGTTCAAAAAGTCCTGAACTCAAATAATGGAACGACACTTTTTACAAACTGTTATCTCGATGACATTTTGATCGCATCCAGAAGAAGTTTTTCTGAACGTCAAGAAAGGGTATAAAAATATTATCAATTTTAGGCAATTAAAATCTTGCCGCAAAATGGCCAATATGTATTCCAGAATGCAATCAAAAGGTTTCGATTCAGTATCACCAACTCAGGCGTTTCACCACTGATACAAAATTCAAAGCAATCAAAAAATAACTAAGACCACAAAACAAAAAAGAACTCAGATCCTTGTTCGGTTCAATTAACCAATATATCAGTATTTTCCCTATTCTGGCTATTTTTGGAAGGCTTTTACGCCCTTTTCTTTAAAAAAAAATTGAAATTCCAATGGAACAATAGCCATATCGCCGAAGCATTTGAAAAAAAAACAGACAAGATATGATAAAATTGACGGAAAACTCAGCATTTATAGTAAAACTACAAACTAGAGTAAAGACAAGTGAATCACATAAAAGTCACAGCTCAGCCTTAAAACAACTCCATTGGAATGAGTGGAAGGAAGACTGTTTCTTTCGCCTAAAAAGTTTTGAAAGCTAGCGAAACAAAATGTTCATTGAATAAACTAGAACTACTAAACCAAAATTTCAACTCATTATGACAAAAAAAATGTTGACGGGACGATAAACAAAATCAATTGAGCAATAAATCCAAGGGATGTTTGCAAAAATTACAGAATGCGATTTGCGCGAATTTGACAATTCTCTAACACACAAGATTAAATAATAACTTGATGTCTTCTTTTTAAAATTTTTCTAACTCGTCTTTTCTATTTGCAGCTTGAAATATAATCATCCTGAGTTTTGTAACGCTAATTTTTTTGTTTTGTTTATAATTGAAGTTAGCCTTTCAAAAAATTTAATCTCAAAATTTGCAAATTTTTAGATTTCATTTATTAATCGTAGTTCAATGAGCTCTTCTTCAGATCTGAAAGTTGTTATTTTTGTGAATATTCGCATTGTAGTTATAATCTTTGCTTCAGTATTCAAATTTAGCTCGAATTTTCTTCACTAACCGAACATAAAAAAAATAGTTGTAAAGTACCGCAAAAAATTAAAGCTTTAGCAAAACACTTCTGAAATTGAACTCCCTGCTTAAAGTAAAGGCAATTGTTGCCTGCCTACCATAGTAGATTTCGTGCTAAACCGCATTGTAACGGTCATCAAAAAAGTAGAAACTATAAAATCTAAAATTGGCACTCAATTCCACAATTTTAACCGAGACTAACACGAATTCAACGTAACAATTTTCATGGATAGCAAATTGGTTGTTCCAATTACCCTTGGAATTACCATTATGAAAATTGTACTCAAACGCCACCATGGACAGTTTGGAGTAAAATACGTTTCCCAAGATAAATCACTAAAATCATTTCCACGGAGCTATCTCAAGCCAAAATACTACCATGGGTAAGAAAAATAGAAAATCTTTTACCAAAATCTACTATTAGTGAAATCCTTCTTCTAACACTACCAAACGGAGAATCGATTCATGACTTTGCAGGTCCGTTAGATACAACATAGGGAATGAAAAATACATACTGCTACATATCGATAGAATTTTAGAATTTCCATTGGCGATAGTTACATCAAAAAATTGATCAATCAAAATTATTGAGTTTATTAAAGATTTATACATAGTTGCAGGAAATATCTCGCTTTAATCGCGTTGACTCTTTTTCTTGGGTTACAAGCCAAGATTTCAAACTAATTTGCAATCATAAAATTTTTTTATTCTAAATAGTAATGGAACACCGTTTTAATGGATTGGCTGAAAAACTTGTACATGTAGCAAAAATAAAATTGTTAGTTAGGGAAAAATTATGTCAATTAAATCATCAACAAAATCACAGAAATTTTTTAATAATACTTTTAGTTGCAGGGAATCTGTTACTCTATTCGTGTTCACCATGCTTCTTGTTTAACTAGCAAAGATTTCAAAACATTTTGGGTTTTTAATTCAAAAACATTTTTGATTTTAAAGAGTAGGTGACCACGAGTCTAATGGGTTTGCTAGAAAATTAGTGCATAGTTCAAAAAAATCAAGTTAGTACCAAAGTCTCAGGGATCTCACAAAATCTGCCTAACAAGAGGCAGTCTCAAAACTTACATGAATTTTACGTTCATCCTATCGATTAAAGTTAAATTGCTCACCTTTTGAAAACCATTTTCAAAGGAAACCCAACTTTACGGGGAAACAACTTGCTTCTAATAACCTCTCAGGAAACTTTTAGACTAGTGAAAGTCAATTTTGAGCGAGGAGCGAGCACTAGGCTGGAGTGTTGATGATATTGTTGAAGATGCTTACAACGAAGATGGTAAGCTTGCATCCAGAAGTAAAAATCTCTTTTGCCAAGTTTAGAAAAACTTGGCAAACTTGATTTTTTTGTAATTTATAGAAATTTTAAAATTCGCAACTTCTGAAAATTTCCGTTTTGAGCAAAAACATGGCTATCAAAATCAAGGGAATCTATGTAGTTTTCTTTATGAAGATTTTGAGAGTAATTTAGTTATGACAATTCAACGCATGTGCAGTGTTTAATTTTGTTTTAAAAATTTCCTTGGCTAAAAAAAATTGAAAAGCGAAAAAGTCTAATCGCAAAAAATGTGAGATATCCTTCACCAATTAATTGCAGTGATCTTACGTCTGGTCCACTTTCTGGAATGGTGATTGTCTCTTTCCTCGCAAACATGTACAAGCCCAGAGCAACCAAACCACCCAGAAGAGCCAGACCCAAAATACAGCAGATGACAACTGTGGCTATGCCAGCGCCTGTCTGGACCCACGCTTTCGCCGATGAGGCTGCCGGCTGGGCGAGGAACGCGGCGGAGTCGGGGATGATCGGGTAGGTGTCGCCAGGGCCGAAGGGATCCTCTGAAAAGACGACACAAACCATGTTCTGACCATATTTTCTCCACACGCTCGATCGCTTTTTAAAGACGCACCATTGAGCTATGACCTTCAAAAACTTCTGCCTTCGATATCAATTTTGGGTGTTTTTGGGTGTTTTTTTTTGAAAAGTTTTACGCTTTTCGCGTTTTTTTTGCAAGCTCCGGCTAGAGAAAAATCAATTTCGAAGGCTTTTTTGAAAAATAGACAAAAACTTAGCCTTCAGAATTAAAGTCCAATCAACCATCACCCCATCCCCCCCCCCCTCTCTTTTGTTCACGCTACTGTGGTTAAGGGATTGGGATCAAATTAACATCCTCCCAACTCTGAAATTTCCAACTCAGAACCAAATTAACATACTCTCCCCCTAAAAAGATTGGGATGAGGGAGGGGGGTTGTTAACTAGGTCCAGTAACTGTTAATGAAATTGCAACTGACGTCCGAATCCGGGCTCGTCCAGGTAGGTGTAGAACTCTTCGGCTGGGATGAAATTCGTCTGGGCGCCCACTGTGTCCTCAGAGTTAGTACCGTTGTCTCTCACGGCCACAATGTAGATGAAGGTGTCACTAAATGATCATTGGATCGAAAGATACATTAGCCAACGCAAAAACAAGGATTCAGTGGATGGAGTATTTAAAGCGAGAATGATAAACACCTGATAGAACATAGCCAACAAACAGTTGGAAAAGAGTCAATGAACGTAAATAAACAGAAAAACGTGCTTCTTTGGTTATCTAGAACAATTTATGATTAGCATTTTTTCGATAAAATAAACCAAATTTGAAAAAACTGGAGCAATAGGTAAATTTTTTTACTTCGCTGAGAAATCTGAAAGTTAAATTCCACTTTCGAAACTAGAAGTCGATCAAGTTTTTGTGACCTTTACATTTTTGCTGTTCGATTTTGTGAGTGTATTACGAGGCCAAATTGGGCACTGGATTGGCGCATTGTTTGGTATCTGTAGGTCGCTGGTATCCAGAGACATAAATGTAAACATATTCCGAAAAGACAGTGAATTTCATCTACAAAAATTCAGTGGATTTTGCGCACGAACACACGCAACGTAAATTTTGTCGGCATGCTGTAGAATCCAAAACAGCAAAGAAGATCAAAGAAACCTAGCAAAGTTGCGGATTCCGCAACGAATCTGTTTTCGGCCTAGTGCGAAACCAGCGTACAGTTCGCAAAACAGAGAGTTTGGTCTCGCAATGACAAGAAATCATATCTATTAACTTCTCTGCTCTCAAAAAAAAACTTCTCTACTCTCACCTCTAAATTCTAAAGTTTATTTCTTAAAATAATTTTCTCAAATTATAAGACGTGTGAAGTTTTGTCAATGCAGCATATTTTACGGTTAAAAAAGGTTTCAATGGGATTTCTGAGTCAATACAATCGAATTTTGTTTAGTGTACTTGAGTAAAAAAATTAGGTTAAGAGAAAAGCTTAAAAACTACTTAATAAGAGTTAGTTTACGCATTGGGATAACACACAATTCAATTAAAAATTACTACGTGAGTTTACTTTAGCTTACACTAATAGTTTAAATTTCTTTACAGGGGTAGTCATCATCAACTGTACGGTGCTTGTGAGGTACCCACCGGGGTGTAAGACAATGTCAAATCAGTAGCGGAAGCCCCCCACCCCTCCTCTCTTCAGGGATTCGACCCTATGTCTACCCAAAGGGTCCCCCTTTGTACTGTTTTGAGATATCCATTTTTGGCTGACATACCGTAAAATTTTACTGAGGGAGCCTTCGGCGGTAATATCTCCTAATTTTGAGAGAGAAGCGCGCGGACAAAGTTACGCGATTTTTCAATCAAAAAATTCCAAAAAACTCTTTTCGGCCTATCTTTTTCAAAATATTGCCTGTGGCAGAGAAGATTTGGACAAATCAGAGTATTTTTTTTGCTTTGAGAGAGCCCGGAAGATCAATTAAAGGCCCAGAAACAAAAAAAGGTCGAAAAAAGTTTCGACAATTTCTGGAAAAACCACCCACCTCGGCAAAATCCTAGATTCACCCCTGCTTTGAAGGAATTGTTTTTCAACCGCTCAATTTGAGATTTAGTGTTTTGTTTCAAACGAACACTATATGCGAACAGTTTTTAAATTTCATTTTTTTTTGTACTTATTGTTGGCGAAAATGTCTTTGACCGAATTCTGCTCTTCGTTTTGTCTGTGACCGTACTTGTCTGATTGCGCATCCGCAATCTTTCTATTCGCTTTTCATTTTTAAAAACCTGATAGAAAATATCTAACATTTACACTGGCGACCGGCGAAAAAGACGAAAGCTGTTAAAACGACAACCGTTTTTGGTATGTCTTTAAGACGACGCCACACGCAATTCTCCACAATATATTTCTGAGAACTTGGATCTACTTAACAATCCCCCCCTTCAAGAAAGGGGGGATTGCTCAGTAGATTACTTGCAGCGAATTTTCTACCAATCAGAATGCAGCAAAATTCGAATTTACATACAATGCTCTAGTGCGAAATTACTGTTTTTGTTTACAGGGGTGGATATACTTTGTAAAATACAAAAATGGGGATTGTTAAGTAGATCCGAGACATTTAACTAGCTTAAGCTTAAATTCGAACTGCTCATTTTAAATGTAATAACGATTATTTGTCGTCTTAATGGCCTGTCGTCCTTGTTATCGGTCGGCCTTGTTACCTATACCATAGCTGAGTTTACCTGGGATCAGGGGCACTGCGACTGCGCCTCTTCTTTTTGCTGGAGGCTGAGAAAGAGGACACCTGTTGAGTGTAGACTGTCTGCACATAAGCTGTCTCCAACCCAGTAACTGTCCGCAATCTGTCCGTCATATCACTGGAACGAAAAACAAGTTAAGTTAACTTAAGAAGATTTCCCCACAAGGCAAAGGATCAAGATACGAACTGTTATCGGCTCATCATGGAGACCCACTGTTATGCCCCTGGTTAATAATTGAGAAATTTTTAATCGAAACTTAACCCTAATCTAAGGGAATTGCAACAAACAAACATCACTAAATCATGCCTCTGCACTAAAAAACTCACTACTACGAAAAAAAAACGTGAGCTTACCTAATTTATATGCTGATAACTTCCCTTGTGGATAAGCGATCTTAATCTAATATGAAGTGTCTGTTTTCATGAGCTTAAATTTCCACGTTTCAAGAACCAATTTGTGTTTTGATCCTTTTCGAGAAGAGGGAAGGAGCTTTGGATTTTTATTCCTGTCGGTTTTTTTTCAGCCCGCATCAATTACCTCAAAAAAAATCTCGCAGGAGGTTAAGTGTGATATCTAATAACTCGCAGGAGGTTAAGTGTGATATCTAATAAAAGCCATTTTGGTCGCAATTTCATGTTGAAAAGAAAGTTTGAAAAAAAAATCTGTCTGAAAAAAATTCTGTCTGGAAAGCCTGAAAATTTTCAATTTTCAGACGAAATTAGACAAAAAGTGATGATAGGCTGACCTCATGCAAATAATTTACCTTTAATTCAGTACTAATATCCTAATACCATTTTAGAAACGTTGCCTGTTGTGCTTACAATTTTCATTTAATTTAGACGCCCTTTACAAAAAACATGGCCATCAGACAGCTCAAAAAAAGTCACGAACTAAAGGAAATAGCAAAAAACGGACTTAATTAAAAAACGTCAACTTTCGAAATTCAAAAACAACTAGGTATCCTCAAAGCTCTTTTAATTTCAAGAAAAAATTTCCCATTCTGCTTTGAAATTTGAAAACTAAAATCCACTATCGAAACTAGAAGTTATTCACGTTTTTCTTGACCTTTACACTTTTGCTGTTCGATAGTGGAGTTTACCTTTTTCAATCAACAAGGGAAATGAACTGAATTTTAAAAGCGAAAAAATAATATCAAAACTGAGCGTAAACAAATATAAATTTTAAGACTTTTTCGGATTTAAGTTTTAAGAAATTTTAAGAAAAAAGAGTTTGGCTTTTACAACAAGGGAAATGAACTGAACTTTAAAAGCTAAAAAAATCAAACTTGAGCGTGAACAAATTTAAATTTAAAGACTTTTTCCTGACAAAAAACGAACAAAAACAGAGACCTATTCAAAAGTGTTCAAAACGTTCATGACTCTTAAAAAATGAACCGGAATTTAGAAGTAAAAAAAGATCAAATGACCAAAGACCATCCAACACTTCTATTGTAAAACATCTCAGTTCAATTAATTTCAAAACACCAATTATCACAATTTTGAACAATTTTGTAGTGGTAAAAAAACTCAAAGTCTCAAAAGATGTTGAAAGTAATTACGTGTTGAAACTGTCGAGGAGTTGTCCGTTGTTGGCGTCGTAATCGGTCAATTGATCATAAGTCGGGGGGTTGTCGACCTGGACACATTCATTTAGTTCAGAAAAATCACAAACTATTTATGGTTGTTATAAAAACAAAAGCAATATATATGGAATATATAAGCAACCCTTTGGTACTTTTTAAGAAATCCATTTTTTGCCGACCGACCCTAAATTTTTTCTAAAGGCGCCTTTGGCGCCAATATATACTAACTTTGAGAGGGAGCGCGCGCCAAAAAAAACGCGATTTTCTCGTCAAAGTTTTTCAAAAAGTGCCTAAAAACGGCTTTTTTGACCTGTTTTTTCGAAAAATTTGCCTGCGGCACAGAAAATTTGCCAAAAAACAGGGACCTTTTAGTGCTTTAGAAGAGCTCGGAAAATCAATTTGGTCGACCAAAAAAAAGGTCCTCAAAATTTTCGAAATTTTTTTGAAAATCCGCCCACCCCCCCCCCCCCTCGAAAAAATCCTAGATCCGCCCCTGATATATATATATATATATATATATATATATATATATATATACAGGCACTCTCCCAAACCACTACAGAGACCCTAATTTAACAAAAAATTCTGCGCCGCAGGGAAGTTTTTGAATAAAGGCCAAAAAACGCGGGTTTAGGCTTTTTTTGGAAAATTTCGACCAAAAAATCGCGTTATATATATCACAAACTTTTAAAATTTCTTTTCCAGTTTCCCACCGCCTCGTAAAATTGCATCATAACGCTGCTTCAGACTTGTTCATACGGACATTTGCATGTAAAAAATTAGTAAAATCTGTTCACTTGTTCACGCTACCACGTTTCATTGCAGTTTAAAACATCAAAAAGTCAAAAAGTCGACATCAACTTTTAATGACCTTTGGAAACCGAATTTCAGACATATCACTGAGTGTGGGGGGCTGGAAGAGAGCCTGATTTTGTTGTTTTTTTTTTCCTACGAAATAGTTTCGTTTTGTTATTTTTTTCTGAAATTGAAAAAAAACGAAGTTGGGGGTATTTTAGGACACTTGTTGGTAGTGTTGAATTTCGTCAATTTACATTTAGATATAAGACTTGTTGATTTTCTACGCCTTATAAAGAAACAAAATATTTTATTTTTGTCAGTAATTTTTTGGAACAATGACGAAACATCTCTGTACCATCAAAATTTGCCCTAAAAATTTTGATAACATTTTTCGTTCTGTTTTTGTTAAATCAATATCCATACTGATTTCCATTAAAAAACAACATAAACTCAACTTAGTAAGACATAAAATCATTTCAGTAAAATGCGAATTATTACGGTATACTATTAAATGAAAGATTTCAATTAAAATGAAAAAACGTTTTGTTGAAAAATTGAGCAGCCGATGGCTGCGCATCGGTTCCGAGCACCAAAGTAGGGTTTTCAAAACCATTTGAAAATGGTATGGGCGGGATTCAAACCTACGCCAAAACAGTAGCTTAAAAGCTATCTACAAAGAAGACAACTGCCACTTGGTTTACCCTGATGCGTATGGCACAGCTCCATGCTGGACAGGTGTCTATTCGGACTGTGGCCTGGTTGTTGATTGTGGGGTCCAGGTCGAGGAATCCAGTGACAAAACACCAGTACGTCTTGAAATCCTCCGGTGTTTCCGTGTTCTTCACATACACGAAACCTACAAAAGCCGCCGTTTAAAAAAAGTCGCGACAAGTGAATACTCTCATCCCTAGTGTAATTTATCGGAGAAGATGCCATCTTGGTTCTCAGTCAGACTTTCAGATAAACAGAATAAAGTACTTACACACCGCGCTAAGCAATTTTCATTAAAGTAAATTGTGCACTGCACAAAATCTTGCTTAGCTTGGTCTATTTAGGAAGAGGATGTTAAATTGACACTTAGAAGAGGTTAAAAAGCAGCATAATTTGGACGAGACTTGATTTTAATACTTTTTAACGAGAGCGGCTCGTTTTCCCCCACCTGTGACTGTTTAATAATAACACTTCGGTTTACATTTTTAGATTATAATCAAATTAACACATTCAAAGTATTTTTGATATTCATACCTACTATTGTGAAAGTACTCATTACAGCAACTCATTCGCTGCATTAAAAATTCCAATAAGATTTCAACTATTTTTGACATTTTTTTTGTCCTAAAATCAAACCACGAAGGATATGGCCTAATCTTCTTGATACGACACTTAACTACATAGAAGCCTTCTCCTTGTCGCCTAATAAATTTAAACATCAAGCGCAATAGCCAACACCATTGTCTGGAGGATGTATAAAACACTCAAGGAAACTGAAGAAAATGACTGAGTTTTCAATTGTTGAGTGTTAACAATTATAATTTAGGTAAAAGATTATCATTACGAGATCAAACTGCTCGCTGGATAGGAGCATATTTTGGTGTGTTTAGGTCACTGGAATTTTGGAATTTAGAGACAAGTCTTCAAACGTGTCAAAAATTTGTCGGCACAATATAGGAAAACACAGGATAAAAGAAAAGTCAAAGATAATGTTAAATGCGAGTTAAATGATGAGAAAGTTATATCAAAAAAGGCCCTTACACAGCCCAACAACGTTTTATAAAGAGTAAAATTTCCATAACTTGCCAAAAATGTTTGAAATTTGTTTTTAACCAAACTGCGTGAGAAGCTTTTGATATAAAATTTTCATCAATTATTTTAGTAGTTTGAGCGTAATTTTTGATTAACTGTAAAAACGACCCAGTTTTGGGGTAAAAATGTGGTTGCAAGTTTTTAAAATTAATTTGCATTCTGGTGAAATTCTATTTTTGCCTAATCTTAACCCCATTTGAGAAAAACTGGTTTGAAGTTTCAATTGTTGCTCGTTGTGTCCGGTTAGTTCAAATCAGCATTGTGTTCATTGAAAGTGGCAACTGGTAGAAAACAAAAAGTTGGGTTTTTTTTAAAGAAAATAAAACAACTCGCATCGGGTAGCAATGAGTAACTATGCATTATCAAGTAGCATTCGCTTGCTCCAATGCAATTAAATTAGGCACAAAAAGAATCTATTGTTGCCAATTGCTGCTGAGTCCTAAGTAAAGTCTTCAGGGAATGTCGCTTATTAACGAGTTGATACCTCACACAAAATAAAACCTGTTTTAATATTTAACAAAAACTTGTTTAGTTTCTTTTTTTTTCAATTCCTACTTCAGTGCATAAAAACGAATCTTAACAAAAAAAATTTAACGCCCATGCAAATTCGCTCATATGATTTTTTTATGCCGAATCGATGCTTTCCGGTTTGAACAGGATTCTTTTAAGTAAATTAGTAGTGTTTTTTTTTTAAAATGTTTCATCGAGCCGTTAAAAACTCTGCTTCAAGTGAAAGTGCTCGATCATTTGAAAGTAACGCTTTTATGAAACTCAGGCCAATACTTATGAGCTGCAATCAAAACACATACACAAAAATGGCTACCATTGATGTTAATATTCAAATTTTATCTAAAAACATGCCAAGTTTTATACAATCAGGCCACTTTTTTTTCCAAGTAGAACATAGAAAAATAAACTTATCGAATACAAAGTTTTTGAAAATATTAAGCACAGAAATGTCACAAATCTAGAATTGCAGAACAAAAAACTTTGTTGTTTTCGTGACTTGTGAACGTCAATAACAATTGGGCGATAACCGTAGTCCCAACAATGCATAAAAAATAAAAAGTTTCCGCAAGCCATAAACACAAATTGCGTAACTTACAAAACAACTCTACAAGTTTCCGCTAAAGGTTTAAAGTGATTCAAATGGCTGTACGGAAATGCTAGTAGCAAGGTGTAATGAAGTTGCGAGAACCTTGTTTCGATAAATATTCTGAAAGCATTTCAGTTTTATTTGATTTGATAATGAAAAGGGTGGTAACGAGCGAACAAAATAGCGCGTTGACTATAAAATCCTCTATCGTTTGGAAAAATCATCAGATATGCGACCAAAAAAATCGGTTTGACCAACGCAGGATTAAAGACGCTGCATTAAAAAAAATCAATGAAAACAAACATATTCATTTATCATTAGTATATCTAACCAAGTACTTTTTTCTTTTCCATACACATTATATATCCATTAGTGCTATTTCATCAATTTTTTATGATGGAGGGCTACATTTCAAATACGGGTCGCCAGTCGTCAAAAAATTACACGAGCAGTAACTGGAAAAAACGCAAAGTTTTCATTTTTAGATTTACGGATGAAGCTGAAACACACACTAAACAAATTGATATAGAAAGCTCAAAATTTGTTCATCTTGGGTAACATGTTGTTTAATCGGAATGATATGAGTTTTCAGTTGTTTTAAAAAAATTAGGTCACATCAAGTAGCCATCAATTGTATAAGTTTGAGTTGCAAATTTTTTTTCATGTTTTTTTTCAAAATCTCAGTTTTGAACGAAAACGGTTTTACAAGATAGATAAAGCGTAAAAACTTAGTGATTCTAGATTGCATAATTCTTGAATAACCATTCTCAGTTAAAATATCAAGCATTTTTTAGTATTCTTAAATAATGGTATTGCAAAAATTTGTTATCGAAAAAAAAATATTTGCTATTGAAAAACGCTTCGACTAAAAATAGTGACATAAACTTACAAGAAAACGAATAATGAAAATAGCTTGTACACATTTCAGTTTATTTCAATCTGTATTGCAAATTAAGATTATATTTATATACCAGTTGAACCGTCTTGAGTAAGGTAATTGTTATGTACCATTTTGGCGTTTTTTCCAGAGAAGACTTTCAACTCGTTTTTTTAGCAAATTTTTAAACATAGCTAACAGGAAAGAGTAAACTATAAAAGTATCAGAACACATCAAAGTATCAAGTATCAGGAACACATCAAAACCGTAAAAAAAGGATTGATTGTATTTTTCAATTTGGGTTTTTAAAAAAAAACACAAAACTAGCTGAACCTCAAAAATCCTGCTCAAAAAATTAGTGAAATAAGAGAAAACTTAGTCAAAAAATAATTTTTCTATTCTGCTCTGATAGTTGAAATCTTTTTTTGAATCTCAAGATTCTTCACGTTTTTTCCGCTTTTCTAATTGAAAAGCGAATTTCACTTCATTTAGGAGGAAAACTAGTTGCATTTAAAAGTGTCCGAAAGACATCAAATTACCCAGTTTAAATATAAAAGGGTATGGGCACCCGCACTCAGTAAAAAGATAAAAAAATAGATAACATTGGATTTTTATTGTCAGTCTCCATAAATTTCAAAAAGAATTGAATATAATCGATTAAAAATAGATTATAATGTTACTACTTTTAGAAACAATAAAAATCATTATAGTCGTTTATAATCGATTACTTCATTGAATTTTTTGCCAATTTTTTTTTTGAATTATAATCTATTATAATGAATAATAATCCATTATTTTTCAACAAACGTCATCGCTTTATTTCGTTTTAGTTTTGTTTTGTGTGCTTTTCAGTTGGGTGCCGAACTAAAAGAAACTTTCATTTTGTACTTTTAGCCATCAGTGGATTTAGGAAGGGGGCGTCGAGGGGCCGACGCCCCCCCCCTTAGAGATTCGACCCCCTGCCGACCCAAAAGGTCTCCCCTTTTCCCCCACTATTTTGAGATCCCCCAACTAGTTTGAGGTCCCCCACTATTTTGAGATATCCATTTTTGATGACGGGACCAAAAAAATTTTCTAAAGGCGTCTTGGGCGCCAATTTAAACTAATTTTGTGGGGGAGCGCGCGCCGCAAAAACGCAATTTTTTGGTCAAAATTTTCCAAAAAGTGCCTGAAAACGCGTTTTTTGGCAGGTTTTTTTTTCCAAAATTTTGAATGCGGCGCATAAAATTTGACGAAAACAGGGTCTTTTTAATGCCCTGGGAGAGCTTGGAATCAATTTAGTTAATCTTTATAGGGTTTAGAAGACCCCCTTGAGAAAATCTTAGATCCGCCCCTGGTTTACTGATTCTTACTTCTTACTGACTTTTATTGTGTTTTCATGCAGAATAGATAAATTATAATCCATTAAAATTGATTTTTCTTGTAAAACATTATTTTGATAGAAAAAGGGATTATTAGAGATTTTCGTAAAACTAATAATCAATTATAATTGATTATAATTTATTATTTTGTCACCAAAAATGTTATCATAATAATGGATTACAAATTGTTTAAACATCTAAAATTGGCGCTTATAATTAATTATAATTTAGCTAAAAGTACGATTATTATTATAATATAATCGATTACTTTCTTTTTTACTGAGTGCGGGCAAGCGATTATTTTTTCTTATTGTTGGAAAAAATGCCAATATGACTATTTTGTATGATGATGGTTGATCATAAAAAATTACAGGACACAAAAAATTCACTTCGTGCCTAAAACTTCGTGAAAATGGGATTGTTTTTCAAATGATTTTAGGCAAAAATTAGCTAAAAAAAAGAAAAGGCAGTCGGAATATTCAAATAATTAATTTCAAACGAGCAATTTTAATTGTTTAGTTATGCGTATACTCTCCACTATTTGTAATTAACTGAGTTTGATATAGATTTTGGTGTCTTCATTGGCAGTTTTGATAATGGGCCGTTTTTTATAATATGATTTAAAGCTTTATAGCGCTTTTGATGGGAAAAGAAACCTATATCAATATTTTCATTATTAGAAAAAGTCAAATTGTTCTATGCTTTGCTATCGAACGAAT